CCTGCTAAAAAGGTATTTTTTTTTTGTTTCATCTGACCATTGAACCCAGTCCCATTTAAAGTTCCAGTCGTGGCTAGCAAATAAATATGCTAATACAATAATAAATATGGAGTTTGTTTTTGGATGAGTGCATTTTCTTTTCTAGTTTTTTCTTGAAACCCTCCCAGACAACATTATTTTTTTTAAGCTTTCTGACCCCAAGACTCAACTAATCTCTGCAATTCTCCAGCTGTGATCCTTGGAGAGTCTTTGGCCACTCAAACACTCCTCCTCACCATGCATTAGGATGATATAAACACATGTCCTCTTCCAGGCTGATTTGTAACATCTTTAGCTGATTTGAACTTCTTAATTATTGCCCTGAAAGTGGAAATTGGGATTTTCAATGCTTTAGCTATTTTCTTACAGCCACTTTCTATTTTGTGAAGCTCAACACTCTTTTTATGCGCATCAGAACTATATTCTTTGGTTTTACTCCTTATGATGGATGATTAAGGGGATTTGGCCGTTGTGTTTCTCATATTTATAATCCTGTGGAACAGTAAGTCATGGCTGGACAATTTCATGCTCCTAGTCACCCTAGTGTGCTAAAAAATGGGAATATGAATGGGAATATACTTCAGAGATTGCTCATAAGACTTCTAGGGGTGCCAATAATTGTGGCCAACATGCATTGGAGAAAAACATTTATTTCATAATGTGAGTTCCCCCCCCCCCACCTTCAGTTGTTTCCCTTCAAATAAAGGTTAGAATTTTGTGAATTTTTAGAATGAAAGATCAAAAAGATAAACAATGAAATTTATTTTAACAGCTTCCCTTTGTCACAATACGCTGGAGCAAGGGACGAGGAAACGTGGTGATTTCACAAAACGAGAGTCTTTAATAATCCAACAGGGAGACAGAGCACAAGGAAGACATTCACAACAAGTAGACCCGACGAAGAACTAAGGAACAGACAGGAACTTATAAACACATGATAATTACAAACACAGGTGAGCAGAATCATCAATCACTAAACAGGAAACATGACCAAAAAATTAAAACAGGAACTAAGACAGAGGTAAAACATGACAGACAGTCCAGAATCCTTACACCGACCACTGCATTTTAAGCACAACCCAAACAAAGATGCTGCTGCATACATGCATCATGAAGAGATTTAGATTTAAATTGGATTGTGTAATTTCGAATAGTATATAGTATAATTTGTCAAATTCGAGCTTGGTGAAACTATGCTACGGAGCTCGCACCGCATAGATGGTGGGCTGAGGGCAAACAAAGGGGCTGCCAGATGACAGCGGAGGAGAAGGCAGGAGCAGGTGGGAGGGAGGGCATTTGTGAGCCTCCGGGCTTTCAGGCCAGAACTTAGGAACGGGAGCCCTCTCCTCTTCAGTGTGGCTCACACACCTTGACTGACGTCATTTGCAGCTCCGGCTCCACGGCGATCCTCAGCACTGTCGTTCCGTGCGGCGATGGCTCGTCGGCCGCAGCAGGCTCCGGCTCTCCATCAGCGGTGGGCTCGGGCATGCACTCGCATCGGGGAGATGGTGGGCTGGGCACTGGGTCAGGAGTGGGTAAAACATGACAGACAGTCCAGAATCCTGACATTACGCCCTCTCCCGGAAGGCGCGTCCTTGCGCTGTAGAACAACAGAGGGGGGGCACGGGTGGGAACTTGGGAGGAGGCTCAGGAGGAGGACGGACACCCGGGAGGGGGCCTGCAGACATAGTCCAGGGAGGTGACGATGGAGGGAGGAGCCAGGGAGGAAACAGGAGGAGCCAGGGTGGATCAGACGAAGGGAGGAGCCAGGGAGGAAACAGGAGGAACTTGGACCAGGAGGAGCCAAGCAGGACCCAGGCCACAGCAATAACGGTGGCCCAAGGTGGAGCCGACAGAGGGAGGAGCCATGGAGGAGGAATGGCCGCGACTCCAGGGGGCCAACCAATGACGGTGGAGCAGGTGGTGGAGGAGCCCGTGGCGGAGACGGAAAGCCGATGAGCAGGGCGATGGGGAGGATCCGGAGGTCCTAGGCGGACCAGATGGGGCCGGCGACCGACGCGAAGGCGTGGATCTGGGAGGCCGCGGTGGAGCCGGAGTGACAGAGGACTGAGGAGGAGCCAATGGGGATGAAGGAGTCTAACGGAACCAGAGGGACGAAGGGACGAGGTGAAGCCAGAGGAGTGGAGTCCCGAGGTGCAGGATGGTCGTTGCCAGACCAAGGCGGCGCCGAAGGGACGAGGGAGCCCGGCGGAGCTAGTGGACTGCCGGGCTACAGAGGAGAGGAGGGAGCTAGGAGCCATGGTGGAGCCAACGGGTCCATGGGCCGAGGCAGAGTCCGGGGCTTAGAGGCTGGATTTGGAGTCAAGGGAAACTCCAGCCATAGCGACGCTGGAGGATGGCAGTCCAACGGAGCTCGCACCGCATAGATGGTGGGCTGAGGGCAAACAAAGGGGCTGCAGTTTTAATGTTGAATTGCTATAATTCATTTTATTCTCTGACATGAAAAATAAAAATCCATTTAAAGATGCCATTAATTTCCGATACAATAATTAATACATCGAGTCAATATATAATATAATACAATATAATATAATGCAACATTTCTCATTTTCATTTAGTTTCATATAGTTTAACACTGATATGGAGTTGTAATGACAACACACACCTGTTCCATCATCCACATTCTCCACCTCCATGACCTCTGTGTTGATTCGGCCTCGGAACAAGTAACGAGGACCCTCAGTGGCCGTCTTACTGTTTTTTAAACGCCTGTAACAAAACGCAGCACAGAACCATTACTTTGAGCTTCTCGGTTATCTCATTAAAAACCAACACAGCTGGCAGCTGAAAGGTTTGACAGGTGAAAGTGAAAGCTCACCTGTTCTTCTTCTTACAGTACACCAGCAAGTTGTCAAAGAGGAAGAAGATGCGTTCCTGGATGTTCCCCGCAGAGATCTTCAGCAGAATTCCTTGCATGAGCATCTCCGTACAGCTGTCTGTGATGTTGGAGCCCTGAGCGTGGAAAATAGAGCAAAAAAGGTTAAAAATGTATTTTAAAAAACAATGTATTCAAACCTGAATTTAATTTTTTGTAACATGGCAGAAATGTTTATACTTTTAATTTAAATGTTTTCTTTATCAAAATAAAATAAAATAAAATAATTAATCTGAGTCCAGCTGTCTGTAATGGAAGAGTCAATATTATTTTAGTACCGATTATAGTTTTATAGTTTTTGTTAATATTTTAAATTAGATTTTATTTGCATATTTTCACTTAAATTGTAGTTAAAGTTTTAGCATTTTGTTGTTTTTTCTTATTTTTATTAGTTTTCTTTTTCTTTTTTTTTACATATGTCTTTATATATTTTGTTTTTATACTTTTATATTTTTTATATGTTTTTATTTGTTAGTTCATTGCCATTTTTCCCATTAATTTGTTCATGCAAGTGGTCCATCCCTAATATTGCTCTGTCCCACACTTTGTCTTGTTTCCCAGAGTGCTCTTGGTCAGTAGAGTCTCATGAACACTGCTTCATAAGACCTGCTCTGAAGGACACACAGCTGCGCAGGAGGTCAACGACAACGAGCAACCAGCCACTTCTGGACACTGCTGTGGAAAAACTACTCTCTCTCTCTCATCCCATCTCCACCCACAGCCTGTGAGAACAGACAACCTCTTCCTCTTCCCCCAAATCCAGAACACATATTAATGCACTGATGCATTTCACATTTAATGGGGGCTGAAGTTCATGATTACGAAGCAAATCTTAGATTCTTTGCTTTCATTGTAGGTGTGCATCCCATCAAAGGCCTTGTTTCCTGGACATGAAGTAACAGGAAAGCAAAATGCCAGTAATGAAGCACAGAAGGCTAAAACAGATATGGAAACTGAACTGCTTCCAAAAGGTCACCGTGTACTTCATTAAAGCAGTTTTGGAATGGTCACTGCACTCCGAACAGTACGTACCACTAAATGGTGCACAGAAATGTCCCCATAATATTATAAAGTGACAGCTCTGGCCACACAGACCAAATGCATACAATTTCTCGCCTACCAGAAGGGTGTGACGGCTCAGATATGTGTTACAGACAGAAACAATCTCGCCGGGAAATTATAGATCTTAAAACAAAATTCAGTCAACATCATTTTCGAAACCCATGTCTGTCTGTTATAAAACATTCCACTATATTTCCCTTGTAAAATCTGACTGCCTGTTTTTCATTCTGCGGTATGTTTTTACAATGGTTGATGTGGACAGAGAAACCTGGCTAGGATCATTTCAACACGCACCCTGAATGCTAAAACAACATGGCCTTTGTTTTGCTAAATTTCTTCTTAAAACACAAGGACATGTGCAAGGCTGCTAGGATCAAATGCAAAAGTCCACTTATTCGTTTAAAAATAGTTGCGGTCACTGCTGTTTAATCTCTAAACATGTGAGACTTGAACTTATTACGACTGCTTACAAATTCATTTACTTGCATTCTTGAATATGATATGGCTCAGTGATTCATGAAGCAGATGGGTAAACAGATTCAAAAGAATGTAAGCATAAACACAGTCCTCTGTATCGCCATCTGCAAAATACGGTTAAAAATAGATCCAAAGCCTGCTGTGAAGTGTTCATTCTGAGATTAAACAAGGCTGAGGCTAAATCTGAGTGATACAGGAAGATGTACGTGAGACAGTTAAACTCAACACTCAGCAGAGAGACTTTTGTGGTTAACACACTGACCACAACTGTTAACTCAGTCTAGGGCCACCATGCCAAAGTGGATCACACCTACCACACAGTAACACCCACACTCACAAAACCCAGACTTCTGGACTCTGTTGAAGTCATAAATAAATAAATTAATTAATTAAATTAAACAAAAGTGCCATAATTTACTCTATCTTCTGTGGAATATAAAAATATTTATTAGGCATACAATGAAAGTGAATGGTACCCAGAGCCTGTCAAACTCCAAAATGACAATGAAAACATAAAAGCACTGTAAAATTAGACCATTCGATTCCTACATCCCAAATGTTCTGACGTCATATGCTAGTCATTATTCAAACCCATAATTTTCAAATCTCACATGTTCATAATTCATGTTCCCATATTACTGTATGTCCCACCAAGTCTGATGTCTCCAAATATAAAAGGTTTTTATGTGATACATTTGAATATGTGCATATGCAAATGAGACTAATAAGCTAAAATTCTAAAGTTTGGGGTCTAAAGATTTTTCATGTTTGAAAGAAGTTCTCCAATGGACACCAAGTAAAAACAGTAATATTGTGAAATATTATTACAATTTAAAATTACATTTTTATTTAAATATATTTTAAAATCTAATTTATTCCTATGATGTCAAATCTGAAACGGTAACATTTGTTTTTTTTAGAATTCTTTGATTAGAAAGTTCAAAAGAAAAGCATTTATTTGAAATAGAAGTCTTTTGTAACAATGTAAAGGTCTTTGCTGTTTCGTTTGATTAAATGTCACGCATTGTTGCTGAATAAAAGTATTAAAGAGATAGTTGAACTTTTTGGTTACCCATATTCTTCAGAATATCATCTTTTATGTTCAACAGAAAAAAGAAACTCTTACAGGTTTGGTACAATGTGAGGGCAAGTAAATGATGTCAGAATTAAAATTTTTAGGTGAACCATCCCTTTAAATACTATCACAACAAAATCATACAGACACCAAACCTTGGAGAGGTTGTGTATATTTGAAAATATTATTAATAATATAAATGATTATCATAAACATTTAGCTAAGTTCTCCTTTTATCTTTTATAGAAGAAAAGCCATACGGGTGCGACAAAATGTTATTTTTGTTTTCTTTGAACTACCCCTTTAACTACTGTAGTCACTCCATTGCCTAAACTATTTCATGTCCGAGTCGACTTTTATGTCCTAATGAGTGTGAGTTCACCATGTCTCTCTTACAGGTTTGGTACAATGTGAGGGCAAGTAAAATTTTTAGGTGAACCATCCCTTTAAATACTATCACAACAAAATCATACAGACACCAAACCTTGGAGCGGTTGTGTATATTTGAAAATATTATTAATAATATAAATGATTATCATAAACATTTAGCTAAGTTCTCCTTTTATTTTTTATAGAAGAAAAGCCATACGGGTGCGACAAAATTTTATTTTTGTTTTCTTTGAACTACCCCTTTAACTACTGTAGTCACTCCATTGCCTAAACTATTTCATGTCCGAGTCGACTTTTATGTCCTAATGAGTGTGAGTTCACCATGTCTGTGTCTTTTATTTCACCTCTTTCTATCTTTCCCCAAAGCCACCAAGCATCCCGCTCACAAAAAAACTTGTTGGAAGGGTCCGTTACATAAACCCCAAGCACAGAACCCACACTGCCCGCACAATCACCGCCATTGTTACCCTTGGCCGGCAGCCCCATGCCCAGTCACACATTATTAAGGGGGAAGTCTGGAGGATAAATGAGTTTCAAACTGCAATCGACGGTACCTGCTGGTTACTTGATGGGTCACGTGTTGCGTGCGAGACGATGTGATGGGGCAGAACACATCTGCATGTTAGACATAGTTTGTGGTTAGTTTATAGAGCATTTGTGAAATAATTTCTGCTCTAATCAGCCATCTGAATATGAATAATGGCCGAGTTAATCTTGTGCAATGGTCAAGCGGCCACTACCGTATAAAGTGGGTCTAATTAAAGGCATTGATGCAAAGAGCAGACAGTGCTGGCGTAGTCTAAAGAGCACTCAGCTGAGCTGGTGGGTGGAGAGAGGGGTTGTACAGAGGCTGAAAGAATGGATGAACAAAAGCATCAAGTTCAATTAGGTCTAAAGATTTTAGGGTTTCAACAGTTTACATCAAAGGGACTGGAAAAATAAAGAAATGCTGTTCTGTCATGACAAATCTTGGAGAGTTTTAGCATGGTAATATACAGTGTTAAAGGGTTAGTTCACCCAAAAATGAAAATTAGGCTGCGTTTTACTCACCCCCGAGGCATGCTAGGTGTATATGACTTTCTTCTTTCAGACGAATCCAGTCGGAGTTATGTAAAAAGTTGTCTTTGATCTTTCAAGATCTATCATTGCAGTCAGCCAGTGTTGCATTGCTTAAATCCAAAAGAAGTTAAATAAAAAGCGCCCATGCATAAAAAAAAGTGTCTCACACGGCTCCGGGGGGTAAACAAAGGCCTCCTGTAGCGAATCGATGCGTTTTTGTAAGAAAAATATCCATATTCAAAATGTAATAATCACTTTAATCTGGCTTGCGCCAGCAGTTGTACACAGAAGCAGTTCCGGGAGCATGACGTATGAGGTCAGCATTGTGCATGCGCCGGTGAGTCTCGTGAAAACCAATGTTTGTTTACAAGAGCAAAGGAAGCAAAGTTTCCTTACTTTAGCAAAGGAAAACCAGTCTCCTCTTGGCTTATATCGAAATCCTCTGACATTCTTCTTTACAAATCCTCGTTTTGTACTTTTAATTCTTGACCATTGTTTTGTTTTGATCTCTCCGCTGCGTTTCCACATGCATCACTTCTGAGTGGCGCATGCGCATACATCATTCCCCCGGAACTGCTTCCATTTACAACAGTGAGCGCAAGCTAGATTCAAGTGATTATTACATTTTGAATATGGATACTTTTCCTACAAAGACGCATCGATTTGCTACAGGAGGCCTTTGATCACCCCCCGGAGCCGTGTAAGACACTTTTTTATGGATGGGCACTTTTTATTTAACTTATTTTGGACTGAAGCAATGCAACACCCGCTGACTGCAATGATAGAGCTTGAAAGATCAAAGACAACTTTTAATATAACTCCGACTGGATTCGTCTGAAAGAAGAAAGACATATAAACCTAGGATGCCTCGGGGGAGAGTAAAACGCAGCCTAATTTTCATTTTTGGGTGAACTAAACCTTTAATATGTTTGTTCTTGGTGGAATAGATCTGCTACACTGCTGCTGCGGCAGAGCAAGTACCAAGACTTGCTACTGCCAATACATCCACAGACATGCTGCTGTGAGCATGTAAGAAATACTGCTGCTGCACATATAACATACATGAAATAACCCCCATATATAACATACATGAATTCTCCCTGTAGCAGATCTATACAGGTGGAGCTGGGGAAGGTGGAGGGTTTCTGTAGTGCGCTGCAACTGCTACAGCAAGCACTAAAAATTGCAATGCTGAGCAGCAAGCTCATTGGCTTCTGATGTGAAAAGAAATCAATCAGCTGTGCCATGTGAATGATGACGTAATTATATCAGATTGAGTTCAAACTGATCGGCCTGTGAACTTTGACAAAACTTTGTATTTCTTTTTAACTTTCTATTCAAGTATCATGGTTTCCACAAAAATAGTAAGCAGCACAGCTGTTTTCAACATTGATAATAATAAGAAATGTTTCATGAGCACCAAAACAGCATATTAGAATGATTTCTAAAGAATCATGTGACAATGAAAACTGGAGTAATGATGCTGAAAATTCAGCTTTGCATCACAGGAAGAAATTATATTTTAACATATTAAAATAGAACAGTGTTATTTTAAATTGTAATAATATTTTACAATATTACTGTTTTTACTGTATTTTTGATCAGCCTTGGTGACCATAAGATTCTTTTCAAAAATGTAAAAAAAATAAATTAAAAAAACTTTTAAACAAAACTTTTAAACAAAACTTTTAAAAAACTAAATTTTGAGGACAAGATCCACACAAGGTAAAAAGCTTAATAAAAAGGGGATATGTAGTTGCAGAGCTGTTGCTAAGCTGTTTTGAGTGGTTCCTATGATGTTGTAGGTGGTCGCTTACTACCCCGTCAACAAATCCCAAAGTATCTATGAAAGTCCCTAGATAAGGTTTGAGTACACAATGAAAGTCTATGGGATTTTTGCACTTTTCAGCATCTGTCAAGAGAAATCATAAGTCTGATTGTTTAGAAAAGTAAAAACACATCTCTTCAACAAGCCACATGATTTAACAATGTTGAAAACAGTAGTGATCCTTGATATCCTTGCCAAATAAAAGTGTTAAAATTATTAAGATATCTTTCTTGTCCGTAACTCAAACTTTGCAGGATGAGTTGCACGCCAAACCCTAATAGATAAGAGTTAACAAACCCTAATAGATAAGAGTTCAATGTTTTTTCAAATCATTAAGTTTGCTGTAGTAAGTACCACTAATAGTTAAGAAACAATTGAGTTCAAATGGAGATTCCCATCATGATGTGTGTGTGTGTGTGTTTGTGTGTGTGTGTGTGTGTGTGTGTTTACCTCCCAGCCCTCAATATGAGACTGCCACTCTTCCAGCACCTCCAGTTTCTCCATCTGCCTTTTGGCCTCATTGATATTGGAGCAAACGGCTTTCATAACCTGCAGCGACTCCTGCACCATCAAGTAGTCGTTGTGTTTCTTTGGGGTTCTTTTCAGCAGCTCCTAAACGTACACAGAGAAGAAAAAAAACATCAAGCATTACTTGAAAAGAAAGTGGTATAATTGCAACAAAACATGATCGTATCGTAAATAAGTACGAAGTGAACTTAACTTTGAAACAAAACTTGACATTGACCAAAGCTAGAGGCTATGTTTTTTGAAGAATTATGGCTAAAACTGTGTTTGTGGTATGTTCAGTGTTCTTGCTACTGCAAGACGGGGTGTGTTGAGGAAGATGGTAATCTCTAAACCAAGTCTAAACACAAGTGTTCTGCCTCATCAGTTTAATTCTGCCGCTCACATTTACATGTCTAAGATATCTGAGCAACCACAGATGCCTATCGCTGGTATTTCGCGAGAGGGGCCGCGGCGGCTCCGACTGTGAGAAGCTCAGTGAATACACCAGAAATTATGGTCTTATTACATGAACTAGCTCTTGTGGGTGTTTACAGTAAATGGTTTAAAAATCAATGTTTTTGGGTTCAAGAACAGCCACGAAACATTAGCTATGAACCTGGCAATAGATGAAACTCAGAGTGTAAATAATGGCTTGTAAAATTGTTGTTGATTTTCCATGTAAATATACAAAATAATGGTAACACTCTGACCATTCACCAGAAACATGTAGAGTTTAGTGTTTAATTGATTTGTATTGATTTTTTTTTATTGAGTTGAGCTGTGAGGGTGACAACAAGCAAAGATGGCAAATTATATATATATATTATATATATATATATATTTTAAAATGTAATATTAATAATATATTAAATTGCAATAAATTGATCAGAATACCAACTATGAAATTTTAACATCTGAATAAAATGTTTATATGTAATATTAAATCAAGATTTGATATCAATCAATAAATGATCAAACATTTTCAAAATCATTTGAAAAAAAAATTATAATACGTTTAAAAAAAGTCAATAAAAAAATATATAACTGATAATGTATTACGAATTATTTCCATAAATTGTCATTTATGCAAAATTATGAGATTACAATGTAGTTTGAAATGTCTATTGTTGCATAATTTGTACTCACTCTCAGGAGTAATGGGTATTTACAGATTCTCTGGATGGGTGCAACCAGGCAGACCTCCAAAGGAACCTCTGTGTTCTTCCTGCCGCCCAGCAACATGCAGTTCTCAAGAGATAAACAAGCAAAAGAAGTCAGAAAATGACAGAAATGTCCCTGTGCAGTCTTTAATAACACTCTATACTTGAATTTGAGTCTCAGAGGGACTCAAATTCAGTCTCAATTACAGCCGTATAGCCACCATAGAGTGAGTTCAAAGACTTAGGAAGCAGTAAATCTAAGAGTGCTCGCAATCCTACCATATAGATTAGCAACATCACACTTTCGAGAACACCAGTGATTATGTTTCTTTTTTTATATTAACACATAAACATATCTTAATTTCAAAAATACCACAAACAAACATTAAGAGCATAAAGAGCTTTTAATACAACAAATAAATGTATAATAAATTACCCTAATAAAAGCAAGAAAAAACATGTTTACAGTAATGCACTTACAAGAGACACCTATAGATCAATTAATCGCATTGGAATAAATGTAAAAAAAAAATACACGTTTTTAAATTTCTAAAATAAATCCACAACATAAAGCTTCAAAAATGTGAGTGTGCAGCTTGTCTTTTAATGTATGTAAGTATTTTAGTGTTATAGAGGAGTCAGCGCTTGTTTGCATTACATTACAAAGACAGAGTGTTGAAGGACACTCCTGTCAGCTCAGCCAGAGGAAGTGAGTTTGTGTCGGACTCTCCAAGGAGCTCCCATGTATCACAGGAGGTCATAAGATATAATATTACAAACACATGCCACCGGAGCATCAGTGTTAGACCTGACCTTGGCCCGGTCCTGCCTATTAACAATGCCCATTAATGAGCTCTCCGTCCAGAGACAGGAATAGGAAATGTGTCCAACAAAAACACCTTTATTCATGTGATTTAATACAAATGAAGGGTAAATAATTTTTAAAAAAAAATATATATATATATATAATCATTTAAAAATAAAATAAAACAAAACAAAACAAAACTTTAAGCATTGCAAATCAAGTACTGAAAAACGTGGTGCAGCATTTAGAGTGCCATTTATTTAGTAAAGTAAAGTAAGATTAAATAAAATAAAAAATTCTATACATTAGAAATCAAGTGTTGAAAAAATTTAAGATTTCAAGCTGATAATAAGCAGATAATAAGCTGCTCATGTGTAAGAACACAGTTTCAGTCTGAAACATGCAGAGCATATATTTATTGAATTAAATCGCAGCCGTTGCGATTTGATTATCACACTAAGCCGTATCACAATTTAGTTGTTTTTTTGGATTACTTGTGCAGCCCTAACTTCTACTGTAAAAATGACTGTAATAGTATGGCAGCTGGTATACATGAATATTGTAATTCACACAAAAATGATATACAGTGCGGCAACAAGTGTCTTACCAGCAGAAGCGTGCGTACTGTCCTGATCTTATTGAGCTCCAGCAGAAGCCTCTGGGCTTTCTCATGATTCCCACAGTACTCGTCGTAAATCTGAAACCTTCCTCTCTGAGGAGAAACACAGACACAAAACGCACAAAGTCACAGCCAGTCACATATAGGAGGCCTGGAGGCCAGGAGGCCTGTTTCTGAGATATCACTCCTCATGCCCTTCAGCGTCTCTGAGGTTTTATCCAGAGGCAGAAGGAAGATTGGCGGATCGAATGCTAGCACAAAAACGCAATGGCTTCATCCCAAAACCACAACACAGCATTGTCATTTAAAGCACCCCTGCAGTGTTCTACCCTCACAAACATAAATTGACCCCCCAAAAAACGACAAAAAAAATATTACCGTATTATATAATTCAAAATTTAAAAAATTATAATAAAACAAACTGCAAAATATAAATACAGACTATGTATGTATGTTTGCACGCATGCGTGTGTGTGTGTGTGTGTATAT